AACATAAATAGGAGAAGCTAACTGTGCCAATTCCAACCCAAAACAGATGCAAAATGCAGCAAAATAATAAAGGAATGGGATGCACCCCGTATCAATCAATACATTAGCAACCGAGTTGCAAAACAAAAAAGGTACCTCTCACACAGATGAAGCCCGTACAAGATCCTGTGCAAGCGGGTAAACAGCATACCGCACCCTTGAAGGTCTCTTGATTTCTACCTGCTCACTTCTCGGCAGCATAAGTTTGTTATACAGACTGAGACGAGAGGCTCCCCTGATGGCCTTCAGGCCTAAACTGACAAAGCTGGCTGATGGCTCTGAGTTTGCCTCGAACCAGATGCACCAGATGGCCACTCAACGTTCGGTGCAAAACCTCTTCAGGTGTCTCGCCTAACCACACTGGTAACAAGAAATCGGCTACCTCTGCCTTACTCTGGCTCTGAGGACGAGTGAAGATGAAGCTGCTCTCTGCCCTTCTCCCTCTGCGGGCAAGCTGGGAGACTTGTGGCCCAGTTTGACCACTTTTTGTAACAAGTAAAGTCTCCCTGACTGCCTCTCCCAGAGCCTGAACTCGGGCCATTGGAAAGTGTAGATCTCACAAAAGTACCCTAGGACTACTGAGGGTTAGAACCCCTCTGCCTCCTACGTTCCCTGACCGTTTTGACTCTTGGAGCCTCTCAACCTCTTCCTTCCTCCTCATGCATAATAACTCCATATGGGCCGCACAGACAAGCATCCATACTCCCGAGTTCATGGACCTAGCAACCCTAACCTGAGTCCGTGACTCAACTCTTTTCGAACTCCAAGACGAAATGGTGTTTCGTCAGATGCCACCTAGCTCCGATGCAAACCTAGACAAACTGGGTAAAATGCGGCCTTCAAAACTCGGTTCACTGGGAGTACTATCTGCTTAAGCTGACAGAACTTTGATCCCTCAGCTTCTTCCTGACAGCAGGAAGACAAGAAATTTCTCCTAAAAGGCAATCAACGAAAACCTTCCCAAAGTCCCTTCCAATACAAACTCGCACGAACTTCCACCACTGACTCGCGTCTCCCTTCAACTGAGAAAGACGCCAAGTCACCTTCAAAGCCCCGTCTTCGATGCCAGCATCTCAAACGTCTTCGTCATCTGCTAAAGCCACTCATCAGCCTTTAGTGGCTCTTTAGTGAATCCCCCACAAACTCATCCGGATTTGGACCAAAAAAACTCCCTCTGCAGAAAAAAAAGGGCCCTTGCCTCAACCACATGGGCCTGGACTTGTATTCTTAGCTCTGAAATGTCCATGGATTTCTCTCAATGCTCCTGCCATCTCCGGTGCTAAGGCGCACGATGGCCTTGCGACCACGGCTCGGCCTCTTGGCCTGACCAATGCCCTCCTGCTGCGTCGGAAATCTCATCCGGTATAGCATCTCCTGCCTCCCTAGGCCTATCATGCCTACACACCACGTCTCGTCCTGACATCTTAATAAGGTAACGAAAAACATTGGCACATTCACAAATGTGCCGAAACTATCTCACTCGCGTCCTAAAGCATTGGACAACAGTTAATTCATTCACGTAAGCACATAATCACATAAGCAGCTTATGAATTTTTCATTTTCAGATAATGACAATCCGTGGCGTTGCTTAGAGTTCTGATTAGAAATAGCATTGAACAAGTGCTTTTCCAATAGGCCCTCCCAGAAATCCAAGGATCAATCAACATCCTAGAAACTGAATTCCATACCCATTACCACATAACATGTTATCACATAAAGTACGATAAACATTACACCTAAGTCTCTAACAGCGAGACAAACGCCATTGTGGTACTAACCACTTTCCCACGTACCCAAAGTATTCAACACACGGATAAGGCTCTGACCATTAAGTTAACGCCTCCAAAATAAACCCATTGTTCATACATTCATGATACAAAAATTAGACAATATATTCAAGGGAAATAAAGTGTACATCTACTTTTTTTTCACAGTAATATTATCACAAAAGTATTACAATTTGTTTGACAACAAAAGTAAATCCCTTGCGGAGCTTACAACTTTCCAACCAACATTTGGTTACAAAAAAATAGTAGTATAACTCATACACAATTAACCCTCGGCTTGAATTTACAATGTAATACAACAAAAATGTTGAACAACAAAAGGAATCTTCAGCTCTAAGCCTCCACAAACTATGTCTTTGGAGGTGCACAGCACCTGAACCTGAAAATGATGTCCCATATAGGGTGACGTCAAAGCCCAGTAGAATATACTTAAACCAGAAGTATGAGAAATAACTAAAATAATAGCAATTAGATAGAAGGTTGACACATTATAAACCACCTCACAACACTTATTCAAAATTCAACAAGAAAGTACATCCATTTTATCATTTCAATTTCCCTTTCACTTTATACAGTTTTCGTTTCATTAATTGGATCAGTACCTGGACCAAACAATCCAATGAGACATGACATATTGAAACACTTCCATACTTCACAATTCATATGCAGAATATAACTCATATTAAAACACGTTCCATACTTAACACTTCCATATATTTCAAGTATACACAGATTTGCTGTATCAGTTGGAAGTCCATCCCCTATCCCTTCCAAACAGGTTTGAGAGTCATCTCCTATCTCCTCTCACAAACCATGGAGTACATCCCCTATCTCCTCCCAAACAATATACATATACAATGTATTTTAAACACTTATATTCATACAAATGATCAGTCAATACACACATTGTTGTATTTATTCTAACCGTCATATTCAATGACATAATCAATGTGATTAGTTTCATTTTTCCTAATCTTCATCATACAATGTCTACAACAATCAAGATATCCTTCCACCAATTAGTCCAAAATGGTTATCTCTAAAAGATAATAAATTTATTTAATAGATAAAATATCAACATTGTCATAGGGAGTTGATTAATCAATCCAAACTACACTATTCAATCTCAATTCCATCTAATTTCATGATTTCCGACTCACATTTCATATTCCCACAATTACTAAAATGTTAAATTATACAAATTAATGAATTACTTCAAGTTGGATGTTTGCCCCTTCCTTTTCTCAAACCTTTACCCTAAGGCTCAATTTCATTAAATTCTACACCAACAACCCCATTTTCCAAGTCTCCCACATACACATAGAGTCAATACTTTGAAAACCCCTTCTTTCGAATTTCAAATTCAAAACCCTAACTCCCCAAAATCATCACAAGCCACCATTTATACAAAATGACAAACATTTATGTTAAAACTCATAGCCAAGGAAGTTAGTTTATCCCTACCTCAAGTTTAAAGGGAAGAAGGAAGAAAAATCCAAAAGTCGACGAAGGAGAAGCCAAGCTTTGCTCCGATCAAATCAAGCCCTCGACAAGCTTACCACTTTATCTCAAAGGAGCAAAGTGAGTAGAGGTCTTCAAACAAGTAATCTAAGGATCTTTGAGTGAAAAGTGCCCTAAAAGAGAGAGAGAGAGAGAGAGAGAAGGTGTTTCACGTTTAGAGAGAGGAAATGGAAGAAAAAGTGAGAGAAAAGGTCAAGTGAGGGCCTTTATATAGTACTAGGTCAAAAATAGATATAAGTCCCAAAGGCAACTCAAAATATCTAGACAAAAATATCCCCAAAAAGTAGGCCAAACCAATAGAAAAATCTGGAAAAAAGTCGGCAGGTGTCGACCCCTGCAACAGTGGTGTCGACACCAAAGAAGGAAAAAAAAAATCTGGGAAAGCATTTGACTGCACTGAAGGTGTTGACACCACCTTAGACTGGTGTCTACCCTATGTTCCAGCAACCAACACACAGACAGAAGAGAGTCAACCCTCTCCCAGTCTAGTGTCTACCCTATGTTCCAGCAAACCAAAACACCAGACAGAAGAGAGTCAACCCTCGCCAGTCTAGTGTCTACCCTATGTTCCAGCAACCAACACACAGACAGAGAGGGTCGACCCTCTCCCAGTCTAGTGTCTACTTATGTTCCAGCAACACTTCCAGAACTTCATCTACAGTAAGGGTCGACCCTAGGAAAGCTGTGTCGACCCTAGAATGGAATTTCTAAGTCTCCAAAAAACTTTGACAAGAATAAGTGCGAAGAACCAAACCCAACAACTTTAAATCAATTGGTACTCCTCTAAAAACTTAAAGTACAATAACACCAAGGTCCCAAAATCGAATAAAGGGTCCAAATACATTTACCAAAAGCTTTAAAAGGCAAAAGGCACACTAAGTGTATAAGATATCCATTTTTATTGAATTTTATGACTAAAATACTCATCTTTCTGTCGATTTTATTTTAACGAAAATAGGCAAATAGTTTGAATTGAAAACAATCAAAAGTTCTGAATTTAAATTGAAAAAATTAAAAATTCAGAAGTATATTGTTATAAGGGATCAAACTTCAGTGTTTTTTTTTTTTTTGTAATTTTCCATTTTTTTATCATATTATTGCATCGGATTATTTTTTTATTTATATTTTGGATTTGTTTCGTGTCTTATTTAAAAATACCAAATGTATAATATAGAACTAATTTTTAACCATTTTCATGAAACTAATATGAACTAGATGAAATTATTCAAAATAATTTTGATTACAACTTAATTTCATTTTCGCAATTTACAAAAACTATGCCCTTCTATTATAATTTTTCACTAGATAATTTAAAATAGTAGACAAAAAAATACATTACATTAAATAAAAAATATTATTAATTTTAAAATTATATTTTACATATTTTTTTTTCAATTTGATCTAGTTACATAAGAAAATTTAAAAATACCATGACATCTCTTAATAAAAATAATATTAAGTAACTAATTTTTATTCCTATCAATTTTGTATTATGCATTTTGAATCAATTTAGTATTTAATATTATTAAATCATGTCATTTATTCAAGTCACGTTAGTCGAAAATTCTCAGTTCACACCCGCACAAACAACTATAAAACAGGTGCTTGCTCCTCGGCAATTCTCTAACTCTGAGCTCAACTAATTAGGAAAAAAATGGGTGATGAGGTTGTCCTCCTCGACATCTTGCCTAGTTGTTTCGGAATGAGGCTGAGAATTGCCTTAGCAGAGAGAGGCGTGGAATACGAGTACAAGGAAGACAACATGGTAGACAAAAGCCCATTGCTCCTACAAATGAACCCAGTTCATAAGATGGTCCCAGTTCTGATTCATAATGGAAAACCCATATGTGAATCACTGATCATCCTTCAATACATCGACGACGTTTGGAACGACAAGTCTCTGTTGCCTTCTGATCCTTACCTGAAATCTCAGGCAAGGTTTTGGGCAAATTTCATTGACAAGAAGGTGACTTCAAAAATTAATTACACTTCGGAAAAAAAAAAAAAAAAAGATTGATTACATTTTTAGTATCTAAAGTATGCATTTGGTTCAATATTTCAATTGTGCTAATTTATAAAATGCTAATTTTATTTTATTTTTTATAAGGTGCAATTTTTTGTTCCAAAAATACCTCTAATTCTAACAATCATAGAGTGCTTATTTTATTTTCTGAATACATAATTAATATTTAATGTTGGATTAATGAATAGGTATATGACAGTGGGAAGAGGGTACTGATGACCAAAGGGGAGGTTCAAGAGGCAGCCAAGAAGGAGATGATAGAGTGCTTGAAGACTTTAGAAGGAGAGTTGGGAGAGAGGCCATACTTTGGAGGTGAAAACCTAGGGTTCTTGGACATAGTTCTTGTACCCTACTACCCTTGGTTCTACTCTTATGAGTCCTGTGGAAACTTCAACATTCAAGCTCAGTGCCCCAAATTGATGGCATGGGTTCAGAGGTGCTTGGAGAAAGAGAGTGTCTCCAAATCTCTCCATGACCCTCACAAGGTCTATGACTATGTTTTGCAGCTCAGGAAAAGGTTTGGAGTCGATTGAAAATCAAAAATTGCAAATTAATAGAAGCAACTTAAAATAATTGTCATTTTTATTGAAATACAAGTGGATCATTTGTTATCTAGTTGTACCTCTATCAAAGTACAATTATTTTAAATTATTTTCACTTTTTTACAATTAATCACAAATAATACTTTACCATGGATTTCATATATTCTACTATCTACTTGATCGTTTGTTCAAGCGTGATGTCATAATTTCTGAGATTGGTATTATGTGATAATAATGTTACTTTTTTCTTTTTTGATCGGCAAAAGAAATTTATTGATGTAAACATGAGGAAACATAGTCGCCAAGGAAAACATCAATAAAGAGGAGATGGGGGAGGGTGTCAAAGCTTACCGATCACATCCCAACACTAATGAAATACTCACTGAAATAAAATTACAGATGTGAGTGCTGCTGCTTCTTAAAGAATTTGAATAGATGTTGCTCTTTATTTATTTTATTTTTCTGAGTTCTCTGCTGCGATATCAATGGATAGAGAGTTCGTAAATTAGTTACTTTTTTTTTAATAATATTTAATAAAAAATGTCAAAAATTATCATAGGACCTATTAGATAATAAACCACTTACTACGACCTACACGTAAGTCTTCCTAGTGTTTATAGCATTTCTGTTTTAAAATATATATATTTTTTTAAAGACAACCACAATTAAAATAAAATAAAAATTATGATTATTTGATCAGCATAATTATTTTTCATTATGCTATACATGGAGAGTCTTAAAAATGAACGATTTAAATAATTAAAATGGAACTTGTAATTTGCTCCATAATACCTCCAAGTTCTTTAATTTGAAGTTAAGAAAAAATGAAAAGAATTTCATATTTTTAACTTAAAATATTATGATGTATAAAATATATAAAAATGCTTGCTTTTTTTTATCAGCCAAAAAAATTTTATTGATAGAAAAAACATACATTTCATATGTAATTACATAAATAAAGAGGAGGAACTGCAAAACCATCAAAATAAACTATTTCAATCCTAACTAGGTTGGCACCAAGGAAGATACTGAATCATTTGCTAGCACAAGCACACAGTTGGTGAGAAACCAACAACAAAGAAATCACACAAAAAAAAAAAAAAAAAAAACAGAACAACCATCACCAAGCAAACTGCAGCAGTGTCACAACCCAAACCCGCCCCTCTAGGTTTAGCGTCATAACCGGCCAGTAACCCTTAGACTACCAAAGGCCTCTTGTCATAATAACATATAATTAAGGACTGCGGAAGCAAATAGCACTTATACAACATCCATTGAGCTGTGCAGACTTATATGAGACAGAAAAATTTTAAACTTCATATGCATACATATACACATCATCATATATATACATATATATGAGCTAGACAAAAAAGGACTTAGCCATATTTACAAAATACACAAAGGCTTGTCTAGCTGAACAGGAAAACAAAACTTCAACTTATGCATTTAGCCATAACCACTAGACGTGTCCAGAACCTCCATGGGAGGCACATAGGTTGGCTGTCAAAGACTGATTCCAAGCACCTCTAAGCTTCGTCACGCCCTGATCACCTACATACATACATATAAACAGTGAGCTGATGCCTCGTGAATAATAACAGAGTAACGGGTTTAATGAATGATGTCCATCACAGAGTCAGAAATCAAATTCTTATGCATATTCAGATTCCAAATCAGAAATAGATTCATATACATATTCATAATCATTTTCATATTCAGATTTTGCATATAATCATATGTGGTACATCCATTAGCGTTAACAAATCCGATGACCCGTGTGCACAGAGACGTTTCCGATGACCAATAAAGGGACCTGATGACCCATAAAGAGACGCATATCATATGATGCTAAGGATGCCACGAACAACTTTCAGAATCTTGGACAATCATACATTCATTCAAAACATAGCGTAACATTTCAGAAGACTAATCATTTCATGTCATCATGTTCAGAAAATATTTAACATTAAACATAACTTTACAAAGTTATTACTCACAGATAGTTGCAAAAGTAGATCAGGCAGATGAAGTAGACAATAGCGCGTGACCTACACAAACACAAAATATATACACATTGAAGCACAATATTACTTCTTTGATCAAACTTGACTTTCTTGTTTTCTATCTAAATAATTTGAAGGTCCACTACGCTTATTCTTTCTTTAGTCAAATGAATCGGGTTCTTATTTCATAAACCCCTTTTATTACTAAATCATTCTTTTCTGAATAAACTAATTCTCACTTGGCTTCTTAATCAAGTACTACTAAGTTAATGACTTATTCTTTTAATCAATTAATTAAGGTTGATTGTTAACTTATTAATCTTTATTGAGCCATAAATCATGTCTAGAATGCTTTGGGAAGAAATGAGAATAAAAATGTGAACCAAATGCAATTTTTCAAAATATGCTAAAAATAGGGTCTTCGCTCGAGTGTCACTTTGGTCGCTTGAGCAGACTGTAAAATTTGAAAACCTTATGGGAGCTCGATTTTCACGCTCGAGCGAGACTTTCCTCGCTCTCGCTCGAGCGGACAACGTAAATTCTGGAATTTCCAGAATTGTAATTGAAGTTCATATTTGATATTCAAAGCCTCAAAACATGTATTTTTTTTTACACAAATATGGAGAACCAATGTGTAATTAGTACACACTCTCAATTAGAAATCATATATTCAAAATCATACTCTAAGGGTGTGTTTGGTAACGTTTACATTTTCAGTTTATATTTACAAAAATTTTATAAATTGGTTTTTGTTTATTTTTAGAAAAACATAAACTACAAACACGTTTGGTAATTGACAAAATGTTTAAAAAAAATTAAAAATATAAAAAAGAGTGAGAAATGGCAAGTAGTGGCAAGTGGCGGTGGAAGACGGTGGTGGAAAGTGGTGACGGTGGGTGGTGGGTAGCTGGTGGTGGTGGGTGGTAGCGGATGGGTGGTGGTGGTGGTGGTAGCGGGTGGTGGTTGATGGTGGCAGGTGGGTGACGGATGGCAGGTGGTGGTGGCAAGTAGGTGGCAAGTGGTGGTGGTGGGTAGGTGGGTGGGTGGGTGACGGTAGCGGGTGGTGGGTAGTAGCGAGTGGGCGGTGGTAATTCATGCATGATGTTCCAAAATCAAACCCAAAATAGTTAATTTCTAAATTAATTTCCATAAATTGAACATAACTTCATTTATTCATCATCTTGCTAATACCCTTTTAATTACATGAAATTGAGCCAAACTCATCTTTAATTCCGAGTGTGATACAAGGATTCTACAACGATCATGGTTAAAATCCTTTCCTTTAACCTTCCATGGCTGAATTTCTTTTTAATTCCGTGAGTTCTTTCTTTTATCTTCATTTAGATCTCTTAAACCCATTTCTCCAAAGCTTTTTCCAGCATAAAAGTTGGACTTCTCTCTCTCACTCTCTCTCTCTCGGTTCTTCTCTCCCTCACCAAACCATACTCAACAAAAATAGTTTCTGAAGAAGAAAATGAGTAAGCCCACTTTATCACTTGAAATTGGCACCACATATACCAAACCCACTTCCTGATTCAACACTATTCACACGTGCACAAGGTTCCAATATTAAAAGATTAGAAGGCTCTAAAATTAACTAAATTACTAATTTATGCATTGACTTAATTAAACCCACTTTTGTCTTAACTAATTATAATTAACACTTGATTAGTACATAATTTAATTAATCAGAACTAATCGAAATCCCACATAATTTACTTAGTCTAATTTGACTTCCATTATAGCCCAATTAATTATATTTAATCTCTACCATTCTGAATCTGAATTTTAATCAAATTCCCAAAAGGCTCAAAATATTAAATTAAACTTATTTCCATCCTCAATTTTAGTTTCTTAAATCATTTAAGCCTTCAATTTCTGATCAGACTCAAAATTTCATCAATAAATTACATATTCAAATTAGGCACCATATAAATGAATTTAATTCATAATAATCTTAATTCCCAATCCTCTTAACTTAATTAACTCCAATTCGGACCCAATTAATCAAATCTCAATTTATAAATCTAAATCGAATATTTAATTAAACTCCCATATGGCCCAATACTCCAAATTAAAATAATTCGATTCACCATTTGTATTCTCTTGAGCCATTTAGATTTTTTTCAATTTCTAATTCCAAAATGAATCCTCAATGGAATCATATACGAGTTAAATCATAAGTCTCGAGTTAAATCAGAGTAATGGCAATTAAATTCAAATCTCTTTGATTAATTAAAAGCTAATTATTATACGTGGAGGGGTCGTTACAGCCTTCCCCCCTTATGAAGTTTTGTCCTCCAAACTTAAAATACTTTTACCGAAAATCAGTTATATTACATGGTCTCACTACATTTCCTTCCCTAAGTAACTTCTTTTCCAATGGATTTTCTTCACATGAAGTGAACTTATTCCCAATCACTTAATGGCTAACAACCCAAATTGGCGATTCATAATCGTCTCTATTGACGTCAATCACATAAGCTAAATACTTTAGTTCATCAATCAATAATTCACATACTTCCAACAGTTGGAGATTTATTTTAAGGAATGTTCACGATTCTCCTTATTTTTCAAATAGATCAAAATATTTCGCTCTTGACATGTTAGATTCTTCAAATTAAATTTTGTAGTCAATGCATCACTATTCAAGAACATAAGTTCTTTATGAGTCATTCACACTATTGCCGACTCAACACATTTCTCAACACATTCCACATTTTGCCGGCTTGATACGATCGGGCAATTGGACACCTACGAACATTTATTTATTTTTAATTATTATTATTTTATTTTTATCCATATAATGTAGTGTCCCCAAATAAGGTTTCACATGCTAATTTATCATAGAAATCCCGAATTATGTGGAAATGTAATAACATATTAATGGTCTTAATTTCAAACAAACATCTTGGATGTCAATTCATATAAGTCATCTCGAAATAGAGGAACATATCGAATTCAGAACAGAAGCGTATTAGAGTCATAACAGAAGCATATTTCACAGAAATTCATTGAGCCTATTGCAAGTAACAGATCTTGGCTTACTCTTATATGGTAACAAACAGTCATATAGATCAGAGCAGAACTTCACATACTTTTGTGAAATTAAAATTATCGTTTTTGACAATCTTTCTCATACCATCAT